AAATTTAACTTGATAGAAATATATAGAATGGGTTTAATTCTTTAATAAAATCTATGAAAAATGAATATTTAATAATTTGAAAATAAATGTCACAACAAACAAAAAATTTTACTAAAATATAATTAATTCAAGTTATAAATTCTGATGTTAATTCTTTAATTTGATTAAATGATTATTTTAATGAAGTTTGTATTTTATCAATTAATTTTTATTTTTTGTTATTAAGGAAGAGTTAAAGTTTCTTTAGATTTTCAAAATTAAAAATTAAAAAATTTTTGAAAATATTTTCATATAACATAATCTAATACTTTTTTATAATGATTAGCTAAATGATCTTTTATTTTTACATATTCTTTTAAATACAAAGAAAATTTACAAATTTATAAGTAATATAAGTATAACTATTTTATGTATTTTCAAAACGTATATAATATTCCTAATATTTTTTTTGAGAATGATTTACATTTGATCAATTTATTATTATCAAAGAAGTTTTAATGTTATATAATAAATGAATAATATAAATTTTAGGTAAATCTTAATTATAATCACTGAAACTTAAATAGTAAATATAACTTTAAAATTATTTTTAAAATTTCAGAAGAATTAATATATTTTAGAGGAAATTTTGATTTTCAGAAACAATTTCAATGATTACGGAATTTTAGATTTTAGAGATTTTAAAATAATTATTGGTTGGCAACATTAATTTAAATTCTTTATTGCAAAATGTAATGATATCTATATAATGTTAAAATACTTGAATTTTATCTAATAAAACCATTTTTTTTATTATAATACTTTTAAAAATATTTTATAATTATAATAAAGTAAACTTAAAAAAACTAATTCTAAAAAAAATAAATTAGAAAATTTATAAACTTATAATTAAAAATAAAGTAGATTTATAATTTTTACTAATAACTGGTATTCTGCAAAATAAGATCAGATCAGATAATTAAAGATAAATATATTTTTTAAATAAATAGTTATTTTTTAATAAATTTAAAATTTTAATATAGTTTCATCATTATTATAAGTTTTGAATGGTTTTATCTTCTTGAATTTATATAAAATTTTAATATATTTTATTAAATTTTACCTTTTATTATTTAAATAATCTGTAAAATCTTTAGATTTATCTAAAAATTGACTTATATTTATTTTTATATAAATTTATATATATAAGCTTATAAACTTATATTTAAACAAATTTCTAAAATATAAAATTGATTTATTAATTAATTAGAAAAAAAAAATTGTAATTTTTAAGATATTTATAGAAATTTTTAATTTAATATAATCAGAAAAAGTAATTATTTTTATTATATATAAGAATAATTTTTATTCAAAAGATAAATATAAATGATCAGAGATTATCAATCTCATGTCTTTATTAGGTAACATTATAATCGGTCATGCAAAACGGCCCATTAAGTTACCTTTATGAACTAAATCATTTATGTTTTTAGAAATTTTTTGATTTTGAATGAGTTTTATTTTTGATTGTTTGGTCTATTCAAAGACAAATTTGGTAAAAACAAAAACGATATGCTGGCTCACATTCTTTTTTATATTCTCAACATTTTGTGAATTGTTATTTTACCTCTTTAGAATAATGTAACCTTAAGAGAGACCGGATTTTTTTATATAAATTCGAAAGCGCATTTAATGGATTTCATAAAAAATCACTTTTTTTCTTTTGCTTTTTTTTTAAAAAAAAATATTAAAAAGGATGACGGTAACAGAGGTTATATCAGGCTCGATAGAAGTTACAAAAGGGCTGAATGATATACAATCTTCAAAGTTAGCTTTTGCAAAAGAAGCACTTACAGTAGCGACCAAAGTAGGGGATGCAATTACACCATTTATACCCTTAATTGGAGCAGCGGCTACAGTTATTACAGAAATAATTGATATATATCATACAGCACAGTATAATAAAAAAATTTGTAATTCAATATTAGATAGAGCAAGGTTAGCAGAAATTGCGATTGATAACATAATTCGTAGGAGGAAAGAAAATGAACAACTTTTTAAAAATCAAGCGTGGTATTACGCATTCAATAGATTTGTTGAAGTTTTAAATAAACTCAAGAATTTTGCCGAGGAAATTTCGCAATTAAAAAGGATTAAACAATTTATTAAGGCTAAAAATATTTCAGGAAGTTTTGTTGAACTCACAAAAGAATATGATGATGTAATGAAAGACTTAAATTTTACTATGGCTATTTCTAACGAACAACAACGACAGATTGATCAAAAAAGTTTAAAAGATGATCTGGTCGAGACCTCTAAGGTTTGTTAATTATAATATGACAATAAGAATGATGATGTTATTTATTAAAATTTATTTTGATTTCAAAAAAACAAATAGTTTCTCGAAAAAATTGATGTTGGTGTTGAAGAAAGTCAAGTCCATCTAGTCCTCATATATGAAGAAATTGGAAATTTGGTTAATATGGTAAAACGTTTAGATCGCAAGTCACCCGATGACAACAGTATTCAAGTAAAAAAGATAGGATCAAGTCAATTAAAAGATCCGGATGTAGGAAGAGAACGCGATACACGCGGAAATAATTCACGTAAAGTAAAAAGACAAATATATATGAATGCTATTGAAGTAGCCCTTAAGCCTATTAAAGTTCCTAAAGATGCTATGGAAAAACGTAAATTTGAACGTCAGCTTGCTATTCAAATTAAAGCTTCTCAATCACCAAATGCTATTCGATTTTTTGGGCTTACAGAGATTCTTAGTGAGACATATATGATTCTAGAATGGGCCCAACTTGGAAGCTTAAAAGAAATGTATGAAATAAAACAAAACAAAATACCCTTGGAATTGAAGGTGCATTGATTTTTTTTTTATTATTTTCTCAATATTTTTCGACTTTACGTTTAAACTTGACGCGTATTTTATATTTTCATAGTTAACTTATGCACTTCAAATTTGTCGAGGCATCGCGTATTTAAACGCATCAGGTAGGTCTGAATGATATATGATTTATTCATAATAAGATGCAATTAAATATCTAAGATCTTTTTGCGAATGCAGATGTATTTCACCATGATTTGAGATGCAAAAACATAATGGTATGTATAACAATAATTTTTTTCAGACCAAAATCGATAAAAATATCAACTAAATTGATGTTTTATTAAAGGTAACCGAAAACAACGTCGCAAAACTAGCAAACTTCAAAATTTCACGTAATATAACTGATACAACCACAACGATTAACTCTTATCTTGAAGGCGCTCGTTGGCTTGCTCCTGAAAAATTAAAGGAACAAACGACCCCTTATAATCACAAATGTGAAATTTACAGTTTTGGAATGCTTTTATGGGAATTAGCTTTTGAACAAATGCCATATAAAGATATGGAAATTCATATAGCTTCAGATTTTGTGATTAATGGTGGTAGACCAAAAATCAATTTTAATAATGAACTTTTACCTGTACCTCCTGAAATGCTCCAACTCCAAAAAGGTTATGAAAAGATCATTAGAGAAGGTAAATTATTATTACGTTGTAACATTTGTTTGATGTTCATTTCAATTTGATTCTAAATAGAATGATTTCACTTTATTGAAGCCTGGAATCAAGATCCTGATCTTCGTATAACTATTTCGAGGTTATTGATTGATTTAGATAGTTTGGTTTCAAAACATACGAAGCCTGGCTGTTCTCCAAGTCTTCAACCTCAAAATGGGTTAGAACTCGGTCTATCTTTTGAATTAGAAAGTTCAAGTAATGATGACGAATTTCCTGAATTTAGTTTTGATGTGTTGGAAGAAATCGAACCATTAATTCCAATTAATGAAGGTATAAAAGCTCATAGAGAAAAAGATTATCAAAAAGCATGGAGATGTTTCGACAAACAAGCAGAAAATCAAAACACTCGAGGGAAATATTGGAAAGCCCACTACTTGTGGGAAGGGAATTTCGTTCCAAAAGATAAAATAAGTGCTATAAAATTATTTAAAGAAGCTGCCGATGATGGTATCGCCGAAGCCCAACTTCGTTATGCATTTTGTTTGCCTGATAAAGAGATAAGAGAATTAAAACTTAATCCACAAGATTCTATTAAATATTTAAAATTAGCCGCTGAGAATGGTAACGATGTTGCACAATATCATTTAGGTGAGGCTTATCTAAAAGGAAAATTAGGTCTTGAGAAAGATTTAAAAAACGCGATTTATTGTTTTAAAAGATCTGCGTTACGTAGCAATAATAACGCTAAGAAAAAATTACAAGAACTGAAAGATCAAAATATAGATATAGAAGATTAAGAATTCGTTACCTTCGAATTATTTATTTATCACCACCTGGTTCATATTATAATTAATATATTTATTTTTATGATATACTATTACGTGTAATATGATTTTTCTCAAGTTAGTTTAGTTTTTGATTACCGAATAGTCTCCTATTAAATGACTTTCTTAATATTCTAAATGCAAAATTGAACAAAAAAATTTCATTGAAAATATTACCGCGTAAAATACCATTAATATTGTTAAATTCCAACTCTTCATTATCTCTATCTATCTAATGGATCTGTTATACCACAATTTTTAAAAGATTGAATAATAATATCATCAGAATTCTTTCCCTTGAATGCTAAACTACAATATACCAAATATCGAAGATTTCTGTAAATTCATTCATTTTACTATAAAATTTATACCATAAGTTTCGTTTTTATCATTTACTATATAAGATCTATACATTGAACCGAAATAAAATCTTAAAAGCTGAGGTCGAATAGCCGAAATCGGATCGAAATAAGGTCAAATAGTGTCATATAGGATTTGAATAATTATATAATTTACAATTTATAATAGATCCAAATTCACTAAAAAAGTATTATGTAAACTTCAATACGTTACACCTGATCCCAGTTTCTGATTGGCCATATCAATTTACAACTGTTTAAATTTAATATCAATTTAAAATTAAAAGTGTTAATATACTAGCGAAAAAATATTAATTTATTCTAAGAATATTTCTCATAATTGTATTCACGAAGTTTAGATAAATAATAAACAACATAAATATTTCTTGGAACAGCAAACGGTCGCAATGATTTCTAGCTAATAAATTTATGATTTCAATTAATATTACCACCTTGACTGTGTTAAATTAAAAGTGGTGGTTGTATGGTTGTGGTACAAAGTGGCTTGTTCAGAATTGCTTCCTATAACTAAACGGTAATGATGCTTATCTTGTGGAAACTCGCAGCTGTCCCCTTCACACAAAAATCAATCACTGCCCAATCTCTCATCTTTATTTTACCATATTTTTTGTTAGGATGAAATCTTTCAGAGTGCTCTTTAAGTCTTTTCCATCTCTAAGTAGTTCAAAAGCCTATTGGAATTGGTTATTTAGGTAGAAATCAACTGCCCTGTAACGCAATAATCTAGATTAGAATCTAAAGATGTAAATAAATAACATCAGGTATTTACATCTCACGCCAAAATAAGTCCCAACATCACAGCTTAATCTTGCTGGTATAACCAGCCATGCACTACGGTAGAATTCATTTTGATAAATTCTCTCTATATAAGTCCCATCCACGCTCATAGAATAGGTTGATCTTAATACACTTCCATCAATTTTTATTAATACCTTTTTGATAAAGTGTGTTATTCCTTGTTGATCCATTTGAGATGATGATACAGGAAAGGAAATGGGATAGACAAAAGTATTGATATATTTTCTGCGATAGAATTGTTCTACAATTGGGCAACTGAAAAATAGTTCTAATCCATTCTCATTGAACATTCCAACCTTCAAAAGAGGAGCCAAGGTAGCATTGTCAATTTCTTTCAAATTTACACGACCATTTTGAATGACATTCTTAAGTATGCCTTGCAATTTTTCCGGTCTTATAAGCTTTTCCAAGCTTGATATATCTACAAATGCTCGAGATTTTTCTAATTGTGACGAAAGTTGTCCGTCTGAAATGAATTGCAATGCGTTTGATTCAATGTCACCTGTCCAATATTTAGAAGCCATTGTAAGTTCTTCCAATGCTAAACGACATAAACCGATATGACCTTGCATTGCTCTCCATATTGCATCCGTAAAAGTTTGTGACAATACCAACTTCTTATGATCGCCTTTTGAATTTTTCCTAAACTCAGAAACCAACTCTGTATATTCGTCATAGTTCAGAACAATATTATTGAAGTAATATTTGGAAAGAAAACAGCTTGGAGAGGACATGTCTTCCAACCAACCTGCTTGAATACCATATGTAGATGTTGCAAGAACGCCACAAATTTGTTGTTAACCAAGAAAGCCAGAAGAAATAGCCCGGGCCTTAAATCTCGCCCAAAATTCCTAAATATTAACTGATTACTAGTGCTAAAAAGAAAGAAAAAAAAAAAAAAAACCTGCTATAGACATACCTCCACGTGATATATATTGTGAGCATCATCAATGATCAATAAAGTATTAGGATTTGCAATTAAATCCGTCCATTCCATTGTTACATACTTTTGAATGTAAGAAAAAAAGATATTGATTTCTGATTGCGACCCAACCTCCAAGAGTTTATCTCGATATGCAATATATCCGGCAAAGGGGATTCCAATAACATTAACGCCTTTTTTAATGGCGACCAATCCAACCAATTGCGCCAACGCCGACTTTCCCGAAAATGGTGGTGATGATATTAGAACTTTGCCATTCCGCTCGATGTCATCCAATATCTTCTCAGCCACTTCTTTTCGAAAATGCGATTTATTTTTGGTATCCTTCTGATCCGTCTCCAAAAAGTATTGATGAAATCACTGTAGCAACTTCTCGACGCTGAAGGTGGTTCTTTATCTCCGTGTTATCAATATGATTGCTATGTTCTTTGGAGATAGCTGAGTTACGAGTCTTGAAAAATCGTTTTCGATGTCTCTTGCCCATTTTAAAAAGAAAGTTTAAAATTTTTTCAATAATTTTGAGAGAAAGTGGAAAAATAGAAAAATTTTTGGACGAAATATTTTATTTTGATTGGCTAAATTTTGAGTGCCTAACATATCATAAACGAATCCAAAAACATAACTCATTGGATAATAACTACAACATAAGAAAGGGATGGTATTAATCGAACCTAACAAATTCTGATAATTTTTTTTGTTTTTTTTTTAAGAAATAGTATTTCCATACGGCTATAAAAGCGTAAATTATGAGATCATAAATAACTTCGATGGTGTCGGACATTTTATGATGCTAAACCGTAAATATGAATGGCAGATACATAGAGAGAGTTCGTAGAACAAACAATGATAATACCAAAATTCCATCGACTTTGGTGACGGTAGTAGCATTTTGAGCATAATATGGTATTATCATATCAAAAACTACAAATACAATAATTTTATTATAATTTACATTTTTAAATACATAAAAAATATACTAAGATATGTGACCAACCATTATTAATTCGAATATGTCTAGCGGTAGTTGAAGAAAATTTATTAACGTTAATGCGATATAGCATATAATTTATTCCAGTAAGATAATATCAAGTATTTGTCAAGTAAAAAAATTTAATCTTAGTGCAGTGCGTTTCACGACCACAAAATGCTATAATTAATTACATAATATACTGCTTATTTTTAAGAATAATAAAAACATGCATTTATTCAAAATGAATAGATTGGGAAAAATATCATGAAAGATTATTCTCCTCTTTAATCGTATCAAAGATTTCTTAAATACGATAAGGTTTCACCATTAGACCTAGGATCCGAATTGATTACGCTTCATTGGGATTAAAAGGAATTCTTTGAACACTTTCTGCTATGTTTCACTTAATTAATTAAGGACTTCGATGTTTTCAATTACAAATGAAAGTTTTTAATTTTGTGATAAGGTTCCATCACGTGAATCGATTCTTGTCATAATTTTTATCCAAATTTTTCTGATCTCAGCATGGAACCAAAAATGGGTGATATTGATTGGAGACATCTACAATAGTGGGCGATTCTATGATCATTTTAACATTTTATGGTTAAACGGCAAGAAATCCAAAGCAATTTATTTTAATGCTAGTATAATTGGAAGGGAATATCGCCTCGAATTATATATTATAGACTTGAAAATGAATAATAAAATCGGATCTTTGCCGCTTTATCAATTAAATCCTACCCTAAAGACGAAATGGTAGTATAATTTTCCTAAATCCACGACACGTTCAAGAAAATAAAATTTGATTATTATTTTTCTTAAGTAAACCAAAAAAAGCTTTGATATTTACGAAAAATAATCATGAGCATAAAGACCAATCAAATTAATTCACGAGCTATAATATAATATGATTAAAATTTTCATAATGCAGGCCTTGATTCCTTGATTAAAATTTCGAACCTTGATTTTTTTTTTCATTCATCTAATGCATAAGTATTCCTTTTTTTGATTTGATGGGCAATTGAGTAAAATAATCAAAAAAATCTGATCGGCAGGTGATGTCCGTATGCTAAAAACAGAAGTATTTTTTGAAAATAAAACGAGTATAATTTAAATGCAATTAAATAAAATAATATTTTTACTATCAATTTTACAATCACAAATCAATTAACCATGAAAAATCCAGATAAATAACTTGTAATAAAATCAAAAATAAATAATAAAAACACGTTTAATAAATAAACATATAAACATGAAAGAAAAGAAGCATTGTAACCATTTACATGTATGTATAGGATACTTAATTATTTTTCTTCGGTGATGATTATCACGTTCACGACATAAATTTCCCATAGTTATTCCTTTTCAAAGATTCACTTTACAGGAACTTGGTTTAGAAAACAAAATTACTGTGGAATTAAGTGCGATCCTATCTAATAATAGAATGAAGGGTTGAATTTACCATAACAAAAGTTTATTGGTCCCGTATTTCTATCAATGACAGAAAAACAATGTTGAAAATTCACCTTATGATATATTCTTGGGATGATACAGAAAAAATATTTGGAAGTTTCATTTTATAAGTTAGATCGATCGGCTAAATGATCCCGAATTTCTTAAAAGGGATGAACAAAAAAAACCGGCTTCATTTTATGACAGGGATTTAATCTGTTTATTTGCCTTTTAAATATAAAAAAGATTTTTAAGGTTTGGATTAAATGTAATCTTGATGCATTATGCAAGTATCGCCACGTGACTTTCCAATAAAGTAAACTAAACCCAAAAATAAAAAAGTTGTTTATATTTAAAGAGTGTTACGAATATTATTTAAAGGCATCGGCTGAAAATAGGACCCTTTTAAAATGATATATCATGTCTAAAAAAAAAAAAAAATAAATTTTTTTAGTTTATTGTTTCTTTTGCTTTGATTGTCAATTTTTTTTTTTTTTTTTTTTTAATTTTAACGTATTTGACCTTTTCCTATTAAATATATAAAAAAAAAAAAAAATTGTGATGATAATGGCTCCCAAACAACAAATTTCGAAATTAATTGTGCTCATTCTAGCTTGTTTCTTCATTGAAAGTATTAATGCTGAAATTAGAGTTATTAACGTCGGTGGTGGAGGTCAGCAAAATTTAAAATTTGACCCACAATTTATTACTGCACATCAAGGAGATATCGTAAGTTGCTTTTATAACTTTTAATTTATTTTTAATTTTATTTAATTTCTTTAATTTCTTACATTTTTTTTTTTTCTGTCTCTCTTTTTTTTTTTTATGTTGACATTGTTATCCGGTCCGGTAATTAGATTCAATGGAAATTTATTGGAGGAAATCATAACGTTGTTCAAATGTCTTATAAGGGTTCATGTGAAATGCATCCTACGCCATATGCTTGTAAGCGTGACATTTCATTAAAATCTATCTACATATACATATATACACAAGCTAATATCTTTTTTTATTCTCCTTACCTGTTGCATTCTTTCCTAGTTCGATCCGAAACGAATCCACCAAGCAAAATGTTTGAGATCGTTATTAATGAAGCAAATGATACATATTATTATATGTGTGCCGTGGGTACTCATTGTAGGGCTGCTGGAATGTGGGGTGCCATTAATATCGTTCCTCCTCCTAGAGAAACTCACGTTCTTCCTTCAGAAGATAAAAAAAGTAGCCCAACTGAAAAACCAATCGGAATGATACTTGGTGGCGTGTTTGGTTTTCTAATAGTTTCAGTTGCGGGATTCATTTTATTTAAAAAATATAAATCGAAGCAATCGTCAAAGAGAACAGGTCCTGAAGTCATTAAGATTATTGGTAAAGAAGGAAAAATTCCCGCTCAAGATCTTAAGAAACCTGATCAGGTCAAAATTGATAATGTTGCCAAAGTTGTATAAAATACCTGTTTTCTACTTTGCTGGTATTAGAATAAAAATTAATTCCTTTTCAATATCAAGACTTTAGCGACAAATTAAGAGAAGTGTAATTTTAAAGAATTTGTATTTAATATATATATATATTTTTTTTTATTTATTGTCAATATTTTACAAAATTTATTTTTTTTTTTTGAAAAAAAAAATAATAAATTTTACAATACGAAATAAATAAATTGATGATACTTTTAAAAATTAGTGTATTTTTTTATTCTTCCTTCGGAAAATATTTCTTAAGCTGGCTACTCCTATATTCGTCGACTTATTAGCATTCTTTTTCCCTATGTTCAACTTATTCTTATCCTCATCAGAGGAATTGGTGGTTTCATCATCCACGTCCAGTAACATATCAAAATATCTTATTAATTGTTCTGCACCACAATCTCTTGCAATCGCTTCAATATCTTCAACATTCTCTTCATCCACCAATTCTTTTAGCGCCTTTTCACATCTTTGAATTAAGGTAGGAATCTGGAACCTGGAAGCCCCGTACATCAAATCGATCCAATCCTCGATGGAATCCAATTCAAAAGTAATCTCGCCGGTATACATGAACTTTAGTAATGTATCTAAGGTTATCGAGGAAATTTCCTTAAGAGTTAAAGATCTATTGTTTGACTCGATCATGTTTGAATCTAAAAGAGCTTTAAAATAATCTGATCTTGAAGACAATACGGCCGTGTGAACGTAGTAATCCTTGGATTCCGTCTCTAGCGAAATAATGAAATCACTAGTCTCTTTATCATTAAATATAATTTCCTTTCCGTCCTCTTGTATAATTTCAGGCAAAGGATCGCATACGATATCAGGTGTCAATTCAACTTTAACATCAAATCCAAAGGTCTCATCATCATCCACCAAAGCGTCATTTCCAGCGATCCTTTTTTGTCTGAATAATTGAGCTTTTTGCCATGCCATGTCAGTCATGCCACCCCCGATTAATTCAACCTTTAATTTGAATCCGTATTCTCCTTTTATCAATGACGAAGCATTTTTCAAGGTATTATCCCTTTGACATTCATACTCATCATTAGGCGTGTTACACGTGAGCAGATCGGGCGTGATTAAATGAAAGGTTGGGTTTGGATTTGTACGTGTCGGTAATGGAGAGATTGACCATATTACCGAGGCGGATTCATCAAATATGCAATGTTGCAACCGAAGATTTAAAGAAGTAATTATGAAATTTCCGGAACGATAATCAAATTGCCAAATTATATAACCCGATTCGGTTAATCTTTCAATATCAGGCTCTCTCGCTAAATACACCCTATAAAAAGGATTCGGTGAGGCTTCTTTTTTATTCTCTTTTTTTTTGTTAAAAAAAAAAGAACAGAACTTTAAATCATTTTTTTTTTTTTAGATTCACCTTTTTTCTTTAAAAACTTACATTCGCCGATCAAGCTCAACTTTATAAGCGATGTTATCGTATTCCAAGCACCCTTTTCTCCATGATTTTAAATACTTTTTATCGAATATACCATTTTCATAATAAGCATTATTCCCCGTGTTATAACAAATTCTATGTGAGAACAAATTGGGATTGGAATTGGAATTGTTTTTAGTTATAACGTGTAATCTATATTTGTTATTCAATAGGCCTAGTGCCGGCGATTTTATTAATTTGGTGGTAAATCCTGGCGAATTTGGATCTATGACGCTGTTTAAACTAGCTGTTTCGATGTCACTTCGTCTATAACGAGGGGATAGAAAGTAATAAGCCGACATTTTTTTTTTTCTATTTTTTTGTTATCTTATTTTATTTTTTTTTTTTGTGATATGTATAATTTAACGAATTCGTTTGCAAGAGAAGAAAAATAATAATAATAAAGAATCCCCCTTTTTTTTTTAAAAAAAAAAAAGAAAGAGAAAAAAAAAATCCTGTACGCACGCGATTTTGTTTGGATCACAGCTTGGCTCAAAGCCTTTTTCTTTATTTTATTTTATCATTCCCATATTTTTCTATTTTTATACCGTTTTTTTTTCCTTTCCTCAATGACTTTTTTTAAAAAATTTTTTTTACATGCATACCATGCACAAGTACAATGACGATACGACTTTATTGTTCATTGTTCATTAGTCATGATCATGTGATTTCGAATATAATATGTATGGTGTTTTGCATTTTACTTTTTGTGGTTGATTGTAAATTCCTTTTTCTATAAAGATGTAAGAGAAAAAAAAAAAATGTGTCAAAAAAAAAAATCCTGCCAGAAAGGATTTGCCTTACATTTGCGATAGGCGATTGAGATTTTTATGTTGTCATATTTACAACGCATATATATTATAATAATGCATTGTCAAATTAACAAAGGTAGTATAACAATTTTGGAGAGTTGGCTTTTTTTAAAAAAAGAATTCTTATTGAAAAGTAGAAATGATTTTTGAGCGAAAAAAAAAAATGTGTACCGCAGAAGAATTTATTTTACGTAGATCACGCGATTTAAAGAATTGAAAAAAAAGTAAAAAAAAGTTCTAATTTTCTGTTTTATTATGTTTGATGTTATCACGTGAAATTATGCTATTTTCCCGCCTTTGTATTTCCATTCCAAAAAAAAATGATTTAAAGTTCTTCCTTCAGAAGATAAAAAAAGTAGCCCAACTGAAAAACCAAT